CCATCTTAAACGCAGCCAGGTTGTGAAGTTGGTTGGTTGGTTGGGGGGGAACACAGCAAAATGCAGTTTTAATAAAGGACTGGATTGTGCCTAACATCTCTGCACAATTTCCAAAGCCAGCAGTGGGAATGCATAGGATATGGAGTGATTGGGGACGTACATAGCTTCAGTGGGACTTACTCCTATGTAAAAATGCTTAGCGATTTTTCTGCAGGGCTGCAATCCTATGTACATTTATCCTTCCAAGTAAGCCCAGTTAGACTTGCACTCTAGCAAGCAGATGAAGGGTTAGTCTATTTGTCTTTGTAGAGGGTGATTTTTTAAAAATTATTTTTTTTTTAACACCCTGTGTTTTAAAGCATAAAACAAAACCACTTTTTCTTACTGCACCTCACCTCACGTCCAATTTTGCCTTGAGCCTGAAAAAGAAAACTGCTGCCAACTTTGGGGCATTATACACACGATTGTAAACAAGCAGAGACCTCTTATTTCAGTGACCCTTAGTACAACTGCAGAGATGTGCTCAAGTTTGCAGTTGGCGAGGAAACTGGCAGTGGCAGAGTTGTCTTTGTTTAATACAGATCCTGAATCCATCACTTGGAAATGCCTCATTTGAAGCTGCCTGTTTGAGGAAACTAGTCCCTTTGAAAGCATGGGATAGTCAGTGGGCAGCATTGATTTTCCATCCAAGGGGATTTTGCACAGTATAAATCACAATGCAAAGTAAATTGCTTTTCTTTATGAACATTTTTTATCGTTCTTCCCAGTGAGGTCAGGACAAGATACAGAAGTCTCTCCTCAGCCTACCCTGGGAAGCAGCTTAGGATGAGAGACAATGACAGTTTCAGGAGCTTCATGAGTGAATGTAGATTTGAACTTACCTCTAGAGGGTCCTACTCTAACCACTATGCCCCAAAAGCTACCTCATCTCTCTTCATTGGTTTAAGAAGTGCACCGATTGTGGATTAAAATAAAACCACTTTTTCTTATTGCACCTCACCTTACTGCTGGGGGACGGGACGGGAGGACAACTGCAAATTGTTAGTTCCTGTGCATGCTTACTCAGAAACAAATTCGATGGAATTTGCTCCCAGGAAAGTGCGATTGGTGTTGCAGGCCCCAGAAAACAATACAGCAAAATTCACTCGCTGATTTAGGCGAGGGGCGCCCTGTTCCTTGCAGAATCAGCAGGCTAATCAGAGCAAAAGATTTTGGACTCCGCTTGTTGTATCTGGCAGAATTCCCTACGGAATTCTTTCAGGCAGCTTTTATAAATAAAAGGAAGAAGATCGACTGTGATGTGGAGGGGGAGATTTGCATCACCATAAATCTATCTCTTTGTCACATCCGGATTGTGCTGCGGCTCTTAATCCTGTTTCTGAATCCCAGCGGGGAATTTGAAAAACGCGCAAACACTACGTTGTGTTGGGTTTGTTTCCCAGCTGGGTTTTGCTTTGTTTGTTTGTTTGTTTGTTTGTCTGACCATACAAGGCTGCAGGCCTACTGCCTGAACGGAGGCCCTATGTTGGGCTCCTAAACGCATTTAGATCCTGCTCTTTCAGTCTTGAGATTTCTCCAAAAGCGGGTTCAAACCATCTTTACTTGCAAGCACCCAGTGCAGCCAAGGCCCGCTAACGTCAACGGAACTGATTTCCATATTAATGGCTTGGCATCTCCGGGAGACAGTGGCTAATTTCTTTCTTTTAAAATCATTTTTAAAAGGTTCCAGGGGTCAGGCCCACCTACGAAATCCCAGAAGCCAAGAAGCTCTCCGGTGACCGTGGTTTTCTCAACGGTAGAGAAACAACACGTTCAGACGTAGTGCCCAAAACTCCGTGTCCCAATACAGGCTCGTTGGATGCGGAAGATCCGAGGTCCAGTCCCAGGCATCTTTTTAGAGGAAGTTAAGTTAACAGGACTGAGAAAAGACCCCACCCCGTCTGAGATCTTGGAGAGCCCATGTCAGAGCGGACGCTACCCAGCTAGACCCACCAATGGTCTGATTCAATGCACCCCGGCTTAATTTACTGGCCGTTTGGAAAACCTTCTGCCCGGCCTGCCCTTAAAACTCGAGGGCGCGTCCAAACTTGCAGGAAAGCAAGATAACCGTATGTCGCGCTCAGGTAAACTACTCCAGCTTTCCAGAGACAACTCGCGCCATATGCAGCAAATCTCTCTGCATAGGCAAGAGGGCGGAAGGAGTGAACCTTAGCAGACCTGTCCTGAGCGCCTCCTACAGTGGGTGGGGGGGGGGTCCCGGTCTGCTCAGCCCCCAACACCCCGGCGCACAAAGGGTGCCGCGCGCAGGCGGGACCGTCCCCTCCCCTTTGCCAATGCGCTCCAAGGGAGCAAAAGTCTTTCCCGACGGCGGCGCCGACGGACAGCGTGCCAAACGCCGGAGAGTTTCCCTGCGCTGAATTTGGCCGGGGGAGAAAGAGGAGGAGAAGGGAAACGGAGGAGATCCGCTCTCCTTGCACACACAACATCCTCGATCTTCTTGCAAGCTCGGGATTTATTGATCGCGGGCTGCCCGGTCCCGAGAAGCGCCGTCTATGAACCCGTGGCGAAGATTGGCGTCGCCTGCGCGCGCGCGTGTTTCAACTGGGGCTGACACTCCCCACACCCCTCCCCACCCTTCGCGGCCCTCCCTCGCCCGGCCCAAGGGCTCTACCCGCGTCGAGAGGGCGGAGTGGGGCGGGCGTGGGAGGAGAAGTGGGCCCAGCGGGGCGGAGACGGGGCGGGGTGCGGGGCGGGGCCCGCCTTGGCCTTTTCGTGTCGGGCCCTCCCAGGCTGTCACTGCGGGGACTCCGGCGCCAAAGTGATTGACGGGGAAGCGCTTCCGGGGGGCGAGGCTGCCCGGGGCTGGGTGCGGAGAAGGGAAGGGGCGCGTGCGAAAGGGGCGGGCGTCGGGAGGGAGGTGGTGGCTCTGCCGGCGCACAGATCGACGTGCGAGGGAATGTGGAGGGCAGAGAGCGGTGGAGGAGATCTGGGTGTGATGGGAGGAAGGCAATGCCGAGCAGTGGGGAGGAAGAAAGTGGCAGCCTGGTCCACAAGTCCCCGTAGCCCGGGGTGGGAGCAAAGGAACACTTCAGAGCCACCCAGCCTGACTTGTTAGTTTATGATCTAGAGCTGGGATCAGAGGACGGAAGCTCGATATCCCAAAGGTGCACCATGCCAGAAGTGCGCCGCGTTTGGTTCGTGGGCCTGTTGCAGCTACGCAGATGCGATGGAAGGGTTAACAAGCAGGGATGCCCCCGCAGGATTTGGTCCAGCTGCCTGCAGTCCTGTCCCTCTATGCACAAGAGCGCATCCTTCTACCTCGAGTTAAGTCATCCAGATGATTTGCAACACACTGACTACCCTGCCCACCACCGGGGCATCTGATTTTCATATTTGTATGCCGCTTTTTCAGCAGCAAGGTTGAGCTCGGAGCAGAGCACACCCATAGCAATTGGGCTTCCTGGGAGTAAGCCCCTTTGAACTCAGTGGGACTTCCTTCTGAGCAGACTACAGAGTACAGTATGTCATCTGTATCATCCGGCCAAGTAGGGAGGAGGTGGGGAAGTGTGGTTCAGTGGCCACCTGGAACTTCTGTCTCTAAGGCGCCAAACTTATTCCGTAGCTCATTAGGATTAGTTGATATACTGTACAGAGTTATACACTTTTAAGTCCTAAAAATCCATTAGAATTTAGCACTTCACCCATAAGACGCAATGAAAGTGCAGACCCTTCTGCAACCCTGATTGTGAATAGGGCCACATCTGCACTGGATATTTAAAGCAACTTCATACCACTTTAGACAATCATACTAGGAACTGTAGTGCTGGGAGTTGTTAGAAAGTCCCATAGGGCTACCACAATCTCAGTGTGATTTAACAGTCTCTTTCCCTGGGAATTCGGGTTAAACGTAGAGGTTCCGTTCCGGCTGCCTCCAGACTCAATTCCTAGTATTTTTTTTGTTTCATTGGGTGATGGGACTGCCTAGGTACTGCTCCCCAGCTAGCCCCCCCCCAGGAACACGTGACGCAGCAATAAAGAGAGCCATGGAGCATCTGCAGAGTGCTGCGAGTAAGCAGAGCAAAAAGCCTTCAGGTCAGCATTACAGATGCGCTTCTCTTCGCATCTATAATAGCCTGTCACCGTGAACTTACTCAACGGTTCACACACAAACACAAAAGCACACTCTAAATGGCCTTATTGCTGTCAGCGCTTTGTCGCCCTGAGTTTCGGCGTCGCAGCATTTGATACCTCCAAGGCTGACCACACCCGGCCCTCCCCTGGCTTCGCTGAATGGGCATTGACGTTTCCTGCTGTTCTGAGCTGTATTTGCAAGATTATCCGCTCTTTAAGGCTCCCGCGAGGAGCCGAGATCTGCCCGAGGGGGTAAATCAGTAACCAGCCCGGCAATAAAAATTAGCCGGCAAATTGTGCCGGGTGCCCCGGACCGCCTGGGCCATCCGCATGTGATGGCGATGGTGTTTGCTCCGAAAAATGCAGATGTAAAAAGAGAGCCCGGAAGGTTTGTGCCCGAGCGAGATCACCATCCGCAAACAGCTTGAGCTGGCTGGCTTGGATTGGTAGGCATTGTAGCGGAAAAAGACCGGATGAATTACGGCACGTTACTCCACAGCGGCATTTCCAAGCAAGTCATGTCTTGAGGTTCTGAGTGGAGGTGGCTTCCGGTTTTAGATCACAACCAGCGGTGGGAGCATCATAGGGTTGTGGAGTTGGGAGGGACCTTGAGGATCATCTAGTCCAGCCCCCTACAATACGCAGCTGCCCCTTACAGCAGGCACGTCCAACAGGTAGATCGTGATCTACCGGTAGCTCACTGGACGTCTGTGGTAGATCACTGGTAGATCACTGGCTCCCCCCAAAGAAGCTCAACAACTTTGGCTCCCCTAAGAAAAGCTCAACAACTTTGACCTGAACCCCCAAAAGGGGGGTAGATCGCTGCCAGTTAATAAGTAGATCGCAGTGTCTTGGGAGTTGGCCACCCCTGCCTTACAGGATCGAACCTGCAACCTTGGCGTTATCAGCCCCATGCTCTAACCAGCTGAGCTATCCATGCACTGAAGCTGTGGTCCTCTAGAAGTTGCTGGACTCCAGCTCCCATCAGCCCCAGCCAGCACAGCCAGCGGTCAGACATGATGGGGCTTCTAACCCAGGCGATAATATCTCGAGGCCGCAAGTTCTCCATCTCTGCTGTAAAGCAGGAACTCTCACTCACCAATCAGGGGTTTACAGGGCAGCAAACCACTGCCCTCTCGGCGAATCTCACCTCCACCCAGTGGCGGATCTACATTTTGGGAGGTCCTCGAGCTTGAAAGGTCGGGGGGGGGGCTTCACCAAGTACCAACGGGGTCTGGGTAACCACTGTTTCCTTCTTCAAAGGGGTGGTTCCATTACATATCATCATATCTGTGCTACTGACTCCCAAACTTTGGGATGGTTGAAATATATACAACAACAACAACAATTTAGATCCAACATTTTAAAGCAATTAAAGTTGCTTCTGTGGCCCCTCTGGGATTAAGGACCCTGAAACTTAAACTTCATTCGTAGATTCTGAACACAAAGCTAACTGAAAGATGTGATGAAGCCCTAAACATACTCGGAGCAAAGAAGGAAGGCTGTTTTCTCCCTCTCCTGTCTCTTAAAAGCGAGCAAACCTAAAAACATAAGATGCTTGATAGATCTGGGAGGCAGCCGCCCACCCTTCTGAGCAGGAGTTGCTGGAAGCCGCAGGAGGGAAGAGGGCGCTAGAGCTTGAATCCTACTTGCTGGTTTCGCACTTGCCCCTGTTTGGCCACTGCGAGAACAGGACGCTGTGGGCTAGATCCAGGCCGTTGGTCTGATCCAGCAGATTTTCCTTGCGTTCTTATCAACCCCAAAAGGGCTCCCTGTCCTGTATGTACTATGGTAGTCAACTAGCTACCTCCAGGAAGGCCGCCACAAGCAGGAAAGGAAGGCACCAAGTGCTTTTGTGATTTCCAGATATACACTACATCTGAACATGGACATTCTGCCTCGCCCTCTTGGCTAGTAGCCCTGGCAAACCTGTCCTCCGTGAATGCTGTCTAATCTCTTCAAGGAAACCACCTATGCATGCCTGGGCCCACCCCCACCCCCTCCTGTGGCCGCGAGTTCCTTAAATTTATTGTGCGCTCTTGGGTGAAGAACTTTGTTTTGTCTGCCTGCCCATCACTTTCTTTGGGAGCTGGCAGCTGGTCTCTGTGTGTTGGGGGGGGGGGGTCTGTTCTAACTTCTGCTGAACCATCAAGCATTCCTTTAAACAATGAGGGTTATAAATGGCAAATCGTAAAGGAGAAGCAACGCGCAGAATAATCCTTCGGTTCACTCAGACTGTGGTCAATGGCTCTTAATTTCCCCCACTCCTCTTTAACACGGCGGTGCTAGGCACTATTTATGAGTCATGGAGAGAGCGGGTTTCTCTTCAGCAGGAAACTGCTTAATTTTGGGGTGGGTGGGGGGAGGTTAAGGATTGAGATCCACAAACCTCACCCCTGACTTCCTTCAGTTTTAGCCAAATCATGTCCCATCCCATCTAAAATAGCTGGGGTTCGACTCTGATAACACTGGAAGTAAACGCTTCCCCCCTTTTTAAGGGTCTCTGCGTCCCCTCTTCGCGAGATGGAAAACGCGATCTAGTGCGACGAACACCTCTGCCTAAGCAAGAAGCCGGCGCGCTCCGGCGCAAGGGCTGTTTGGCCCAGTGAAAGCGATCGCCCTGTATAGTTTATTTTGCAGCTCTTGGCTACAAAGAGCCCTGACAGTCCTCAGAGCCACTTAGCACCTTTCGGGAGCTGACGGGCAGGGAGATTAGATTGGTGGTCCCCTCTCTCCTCCTTCGCCTGCTCTGTGTGGGCTGCCGGCTTTGACGTGAATGAACGCTCCCAATGAAAAGAGCCAGTGAACTTTTAAACGAGATAATAGGCTGGAATCTTGCTGTGGAAATCCTCGCTCTCTGCAAAGACGGATTCTCCCCCACCCCCTGCTCCGGGGTTAGGGGTGCCAATCGAGGCGCAGGACTGACCGAGGAATGGGCCAGGGGGCTCGATGACAGACAAGGGCGAGGGATTAGGGGGCCCCGGTCCACCCAGAACATTTCCGAGGACGGGGCGGCCCCGACGGGGCGGTCGGGGCAGGGAACCCTTCTCTCTTGCTTTGTCTTTGCCCCTGAGGCTCAAAATGGCAGTCAAAATAAGTTTGGGGTCCCCCTCCTTTGAAGGCGCGGGCTCTCCCCACCCCTGGTCCGCCCAAATGGCGCTGGAGACTGAAAACTGGCTTCCCCCAATAACATTTATCTGTACAGGTGCGCATGTTTAAGAGACAACTCAATTTGAAAACGAAATAAAGTGAAAATGCGATCCTGCTGGACATGAGAAACGAGATCAAGGGGGGGAGCAGAGTCACACACACATGGGGAGAGGGGGAGAGAGAGAGAAAGCGCTTTGATGTAGGCAATAAATAAATCCCGCGGAGGAGGGCTTTTTTTCCTGAATGGAGTGGAAATTCTTGGAAAGATGAGGAAAGCTCAGGAGATCGAGGACGTCCATGGACTTATAGTAGTCATATACAAGCTCGAGGGCCTCAAAGAATTATTTGCCAGGCAACGATTGCATATAGCTTGGAGAGCTTGCGCAGCTATTGTAAGTGAGCCTATAGCGCGTTATAAACCCAGAGGGGGGTCCGATCCATTGAGTGCCTTGGGCTGCCATAAAGGAAGAAGTCTCCTTGAACCAAGTGAAACTTGCTTCCGAGTATACCTGTTTAGGACTGTGCTGTTGCCCTAAGTTCATGAGTCTAATAGCATACTTGAATCTAAGACAATCCTGTTTTGATAAACTGAGAGTGGCGCGCGTGGTGGAGGACAAATTAGCTTGTTTTGAAATCTCTGCTCACATAGGGTGACTCAGAATTAAACCCCACTAAGTTCCGTGGAACTTACTCCTGAGTAAGTGTGCAAAGTATTGCAGGCGTGAGAGATCTGAGGCAGTCGCGCCTTTTTTTTTTTTGCCCGATTCTCACTTTAAGTAAAGCGATGAGGTAGGATTCCAGGCTCCCGAAGTGCAGGAGAAGTCAATAGGCACCTTGTTGAATCCCATTGTTTGCCATCCAGGAATCTCAGTATTAACATTGTTGTAGGAGTTGGGGTCGAAAGTGCTGTTATTTGCACTTCTATGAATGCAGGAACGTTGCAGGCTTAGCAGCTGAGAGAAGCAGGTGAAAAGAGTTCTGTGTCACTGCAAAGCTTTCATACCCTTAAGGGTAACCGAGACTAGGGAAAGGATCAACAAACACCCGAATGCGGGCAAGCTTTGTAGGACTATACACGTACCTAAGGATCAACACAATACAGAACTTGGAACACGACTCCGGAGCAACTCCGGAGCGACTCCCGTTGACGCCAACGGAGCGATTTCGGATTAGCTCCGACGGAGCTGAAAAGATTCGACGTGATCTCATTGGTAAATAGACGTTTAATCCCCGAATCTCAGTAGAAGGCATGCTGTGGTCTTTAACAGAGCAAAACGCCCCTTGCGCTCCAGTCCCATTCAATTCCAGTTCCGCTCCATTAAGGGTCTGCCGAATTTGGCCTAAAATGACCGCGGCAATTTTATTTCCTGGATTTACCAAGCCGTTTCTAATGAACTGATAAGTCGGGATCGTTAAGCATTTGCTCCTTTTGGACAGGGCTTGTGCCAGGCCGAGAGAGCTGGATAAGGGCTGCGGCATTATAGAAATCATGGAACAGCAGCAGTTTAGATGCACAGTTGAGCAATTTGTAGCTAAGCCTTCTCTCTCGCCCGCGCACTTTTTTGGCTCAGCCTCTGTTGGCACAGAAGCCTATGGAAGCTTTGCAGTTACACAGAATTGCTTTTGCCTGACCTTAGTGTAGCTCAGCAGCCTGCGCGTTCCCACATAAAGGAAATGTTGCAAATAAATAAAGAGATCTCTCTTTCCCTCTACCTACCTTGAGTGCAACCCGATTCTAATTATGCCCCGCTGAGTTCAATTAGACTTACTCACGAGAAAGTGCGTTTTTTGTTGTTTTGTTGTTTTATTTAGGATTGCAATCTGGAGTGAATGGATGGACGGTTTTTGTCACAGGCTGAAAAACGTGGATGTTGAATTGCTGTTGAACCTGAATTGTATCCGGCTAAAAGGATATTCTGACGGCCTTTTGGAAATCAACCATGGGCTTCTCTTCCTTCAGGCGAAGCCTTTGAAAAGAGGCTGGGTGGGAAGGATCTAATGAATTATTCGTTCGCATTAGCGAGTAATTGTTATCTTTATTAAATCAATGGCTTCGAGATACCCTCTCTGCTAAGATACTGTATCTTTAACTGTTTTGTTTTCTCCAAAGCCATTAATCGGTTAAACCTTAACAGCCAACCTACTGCATTAAAAATAACTGTGTTTCCCCCTGTTTCTTTCAGGTGATTCCAAATATAGGACACCCACCACAGGGTGTTTAATGCCTTTGTCCAACCAAAGGATCCGATCTGCAAGTGTGACCCGTTCATTTACGTGGCTCGGCTGTGCTAGAGTCCAATTGCGCGAATAAAATGGACAAAGAAAGCCCGCCAACTTCAAATCGTGCCTACACCTATTTTGCACTCTCCTTGTTAAGCCAAGGCGAGATTTCGGGGTTTTCTCGTTGAACAGCTAAATTCCCAGACCACCTCCTTACACCACTAGATTTGGGTATTCATACGTTCAAGAGGAACGAGCAAACGCACTGCAGCGTCCACCCTCTCTGCCTTTAAATAAAGTCAATTATTTTCTGCAAAAGTGCTCTTGAGGTTTCTGTGTAGATTATCGACGGCTTTGGGGGCAATACAAGCGAATCGGAGGTGTGTCTGTGTTGGGGGGGAAGTGAGTGTAGATGTGATGCTGGAAGCTTGTCTAGTTTTTGGTGGTTGTTTTGTCCTTGGCGTTCTTCTTCTTTTGCCCTGTGGCAAAAGTGGGGGAGAGTCCCTCCTAGCAGAGAAAGGGAGAGGAACTCCCCGCATACCACACCCCCTCCAGTGGGATAAAGACAATCCCAGAACCAAAGAGGAACTCAGTTAACAGAATTGTCCTGGGACGCACCATCACCATAAATGGCCCCCAGTCGGAGAAAGAAACTCCCCCAAGTGTTTCTCTTCAGTGAGGGAGGGAAAGAGGGGGAAAAGAAAAATTCCGCCACAATATCTATGCATCTCTCAAATTTGGGTCTGGGCATTTAAGCACACACATACACACACAAACCGCTCAACAGATGAGAGGCGAGCAAAGCGGCCAGCTCTCGAAAACTGCCAAACGAGACATAAAGCCGCATTGTAAAAATCATCTGGAAAACAGGTTTTCCTATTGAAGTCGCTCTGTGTTAATTACTGTGATCTGGAAGCCTCTGAATCTAAACGCCTGGAAGCCGACTTGCCTCTCTCACTCTCTCCTTCTCTCTCTTTCTCTCTGCCCCCTCCCCCAGTAAATGGAGAGCGAGCGAGCGCTGAATCGGAGCCAGAGTTACTGTGCTGGGAGGGGGGGGTCACGTCCGGTTTCTTTGCCATACATGCCTAGACATTAATACGTGCTCATGGAGGGCTGGTTGAGGACGACGTGTTATTTCCTTATAAAGAAACGCCAGGTCTCGCTTTCCATTCGCCTTACGAAATTATTCACATTATTTATGCTACATTGAGCGATCTAATTTCTTCGTGATAGTCAGCTAATTGCTCTGGCAGGTAATTAGAAGAGGTTTTTACAACGCAAAAGGGCTCCCTTTTTGTTGTGTTTTTTTGCAGTGCCCCTCGGATTATTAAATTGCTCTGTAAATTATACCATATTTGTAAAGGGAGGAGATTTGAAATCGGAGGGGGGGTCGGCATGGTGGTGGTGATGGTGGTGGCGGCGGCAGTATGTGCAGGGGGTGGGATGATCCTTTGAATAAGTTTTTCCTGATGCCGTCCGAGCTCGCTCGCTCTCTCTCTCTCTCTCTCTCTCTCTCTCTCTCTCACACACACACACACACACACACACACTCTTTTAAATGGAGGGGTTCTTGTGCGTGCGTTTTTTTGGTTTGGCTTTTCCTGGCCTGGAATTATTCTAAAGCACGCGATCTGAAGCCCATTTTGTTCGTGCTCAGTGGTCCAGAATAACTTGCCCATAATGGGCCAGGTTTGAAGCGAGCTTCCTAAGTGATGGCAATCTCCACTAAGCATGTGGGAAAAGAATGGCTCAAATGGGGACATCTGTTCAGCGCTGCTCATCTCCCTCTTAAAGCCAGGTCAGGCTAAGAGAATAACCTGATGGCCACTCTCTCCCTCTCTCTCGCAACCGCAAACGCACACTCCTCGCCAAATTGCTTCAGCTGGGCGAGGGGGCAACCTGGAGCCCGAGAGGCAAACGAGGTTGCCGTTATATTACGGGGAAGACGGTAAAACAATAAGCTCGACCTTGGGATTCTCGGGATGAGAAAGAAGCTTGCAAAGGATCCTGGCTGGCGTAATGCGGGAGCGTCTCTATTTGAGACTCCTGGCACTTGATCGCCGGGATTTATGGGCAGGTTGTCACTTCTCTGGATAGAGGAGCCTGTTCTCTCTCCTTCCCCATCCCCGGAAATGTTCCATGTTCCTGCTTTTATGTAATCTTACAGAGCGTGACTCCTACTGCTGGCGGTGGCGACCTGTCTTTTAATGCATTTCCCCCCCGTGCGTAATCAGACCACATTCGCGCTAGGGGCGAGGACGAGGTCGCACTGCAGTGGCCAGGTCACGCCGCAGGTACATCCCCACGCGCACCCACCTACCCACCCAGCCCCTGGGTTTTTTTTTATAGGGAGCTGCCCCTCGATGGTGAAAGTGCTCCTTTTCTTTCCAACACATGGGTGTTTCCAAACAACGGCGGCACCCCCGCCGCCGCAGCCACCTACCACCCCCAGCCCTCCCAGATTATTTGCAATTAAGCGCAATTCTCAAGTCACATTTATCTTCGGGGGGAAGCGCGATTGCAAACTGTCAACGGGTCTCGCCAAGGCGATGCGGGATAATCCGTCTGCAGGAGATGCAGGGTAATCTGGAGAGTTGACCTCCTCCTCGTCTCTTTTCCAGCACGCGAGAGAAAGACAGCAAAAGAAAATCAATAACGCGCAGGAGACGGATTTAGTAGGTTTTAACCGCGCCGTAAGAAAGTGAGATATAAGAGGGTGAAAGTGGTGGTGGGGGCGATGTCTGAGGAAGGAAGCTGCGTAAACAGGAGCAGGGAGGGGGCTTTTGAGGACGCTTCTGGTTTGATCAGGAAGGAGGCAGCCCGTTGCCTCCCCTTCTCCCCTCCGCTCAGCCCCAAGGACACACACGTGTGTACGCAGCAGCGTGGACCTCTCTCCCCCTCGTGTTTCACGTGCATTCTCTTCTACAGTCGGGTCGGCACCATTTCAGAGCGAGGGCTGCGGCAAAGTGTGAGGGTCCCTGGGCAGTCACACTTTGTCCCTAAGAAAAGTGAACCAATCCTTGCACTTGCTTCAAAGGCGCAAAAGTGCCTACTTCTTTCTTCTTCTTTTAAAGAAGTGCAATCAGTTTTTTTAAAGGCCATCACCTCCTCTGTTAGTGACCCTCTTGTCCCCCGCCCCGCCCACCAACATTCCTCCCTTGTGTTCGTCCAAGAGGTCGAGCAACAGCCAACCCAGCTGAAATTAAACCGGGCGAAGAAGACGTGATCCCGAGATATTGAAAAGGAAAGCCTAAGGAAGGGTGCGAAAATGTGCAGCGTTTTTGGACAGGGAGAAGACCGCTGCTGTGCGCGCAGGAAATGAGCGCACCTCTTTTTAAAATCAGTATGGTGTGGGTTAGGGGGGGCGTTCAGCGTTGCACCCCTATAACAACGAATTGGGCTGCATTAAGACCACGATATGATGTGCAATTAGGCAAAAGCGCTTTAGCTGATTGGGTACTGAACAAATTCCGCAGAAAATGGAAAGTTGGAGATGACAATTAAGCAAGAGCTTTTCCATCTAGCCAAAGTTAAGCACCTTTTGTCGTTGCTGCGGGTCCCATAGATTCAATGGGAGAAATTGTAAGCAAGTGAGCCAGGTGAAATCGATGTGCTTGCTTTTCGAGATTATTTTTTTTAAGTGATGAATGGCAAAAGTAATAACACGACCAGTCACCAGTTTGGGTGTCCACACACCTTGCTCCGTTGCCTTATCGCGACAAAGTGACTATTCTCTTAGCTGTTGGGGTGTTTGTTGATACTTTCCATTTTATTGGCTCGTTACTCAATCCCATTTAAAAAACAAACAAAATGCCTTATTCCAGGTTACAACAACAGCAAACACCCAGTATGGTGGTGGTGGTTGTGTGTGTGTGTGTGTGTGAGAGAGAGAGAGAGAGAGAGAGAGAGAGAGAAGGCTGAACCTGCAATTTTAAACAATCAAAAATATCCATATTTTCTCATCAGATGGACAAACTTGGACCATAAACCCCGGAGACTCTAATATACGTTTCCCCGTTCACTGTACGTACTTAAGACCAACAGGAACTGCCGCTGAGGTGAGTGTGTGTAAGGGTGGGGAAAGAGCATTTCACTCAATGGGACTCCTTAAAACAACAACAGTAGGTCTTCTTCACCAACAGCCGTGCAACGATCGGCTTGGCAAACCTCAGTGCCTTCTGTCTAAGGAGCTGGCACACTTTTGACATCTTCTCCCCGCCCCTCCCAGCCTTCTTACTTAAAAATTGTCTGTTTCCCCTTTCCGTTCACGCATTAAAAGACCAGGTGTGAACTCCACAAACCAGCTTGAAAACACGGGTTCCTTGGCTTTACGGTGCGCGTGCTAAGCTTAGCGGGCCTTGCTCTCAGGTAAACATGCTGTGGGGATCCACTGCCGAGAGATCCTGGCGCCTCTGCGCTATTTACGCCTCTGCGTAAAAGCAAGGGTCACTCAAGGATCGTGGCACTTGGGAAAAAACACTCGTCGGTTTTTGCGGATGAGCCGCTGACAAGAATCGATTCGGCCAAGTGACCAGGTTTCACCCACTTTACGTTTGATCAAATCGAAACACACACGCACAACATCACCCCCACCTCCTCTTCTTCGCTGGCTACAGGCCCTCGTCGTATCTCTTGCTTTATTTATCTCCTGATCGCCAGGGCCCCGCTAGGAAGAAAGCTTTTGTTTTGGGGAGGGTTTCGGCTATACCGCCCCCACCCCCGATCCAGTTCCGTCTCAAGCGGTGGGATTCCTAATGGCTCTCCGAGCCGCGCTAGGAGGCTCAGGGCGAGGGCAGACTTGTGCAAGTTGTTCCCAGGATGTAAATTAGGTCCCCAAAGCTGTTGTCCAAATCGAAGAAACAGAGAAATTAATCTGGGAGACTATCCATCATAGACTGTAATAAAGGGAGCGACACGGATGAGACAGATGATATGATTAAGGAGCTGTGGTCGTTTTAATTAACTTTTTGCTGTCCTGTAATGATCAAACTGGTCAACAGACCCGGTCAATAAGCATGTTAATATCAAACAAATAAAACCAGGGATGATTAAAAACCTCCTGGTTTATTAAATTTGAAATTCAAATGAAATTTATGCTGCAGATGCATACAGAATGCTAATAGGTCGTCACTTTAACCCAGAGTGGTGGATGCTACAGGTTTGCAAGAAAAAACGCACCGCATCTCTCTAAACCCTGCGCATCACGGGGTGGGTGGGTGGCGAGTTTTTATTAATTTCTGTGGGTGCACGCGGGGGAAAGGGCGGAGGGAATAGCCTCCCCAGTTGCCGGCCCTTCCAGATACCTGAACGCTTTCTTCATATAAGAACTGCAACCGTCTAAGGTGTGAGCTGGTCGATATAAAAACCTCAAGCTCCGGGAGCTAGCAAGCGATTTACATACGAGGGGGAAGGCCAGATGTTAACCGGGTGAGGGTCAAAAGTGGATAAAAATCGACCCCCCCCAAGTTCAGGAGTGCTTGCCTTTCTAACTTTTTTGGGAGGTGTCAAAAAGAACCAGGATACGGTGGAGTTTTGCTCCCCACCCCCAAATTCTAGCTCCCGACCGTATGTTTAGAATAGTTCCACCGACACCCTTTGCAAATCCTTGCCAACCTGGGCATATGCCGCCTCTTAGTTTTCCGACCGTAAATCAGAAAGTAAGTAAATAAAAAAGTAAAATAAGAAAAGACATCTACCTAAGCAACATGTTTAAAGCCATCTGGAAATAAATAACCATTTCCGTCAGAATAAATATCCCCAAGACATAAAGAAAATCAGAGAAGGAAGAAAAGGAGTTTTTCACTGGTCCTCTTCCGCTAACGAGTTTCTGCTCTGTAATTAATTTTGTTGTCGTTTCCAAAGCTGTGGAGAGGCAACGCAAAACCGTCGTTTTACGCCAAGCGCTTCTAACCCTCTGCTTTTTCGAGGGAAAGGTATTGCCTGCTTGTTCAGGAGGGGGTGGAATCTGCCAATATGTCTTAATAGTTACACTTCTGGTGCACAGTGGATAAAGGCAACAGATAAAGCTAATCGCCATTCATTCATACGTGAGGGGCTCTCCCGTAAAACGCGTTTTCTTTCACATGCGCTCGCCCCCCCCTTTTGTGGTGGGGGGGGTCAAGGATAGGATTGATTCAGTTTAAATCCGAAATTTAAACAAGTGTGCATTAGGTCTTTAAAATGAATATCATTACAGAAGGAGACCAAAGCAATGAAGTTAATTCTTTTTTATTTGTTAAACGGAGTTCCCTCCTTCCCCCACCCCTTCCTCCTCCTGGGCTGGCCTGTCACGCCTTCTCAACAGGCTAAAATCATTCAGAGCAGCTCGCGGAGAGAAACACGACATTTATGGTAACCATCAGCCTTCAGAGAAAGAAAGCAGTTCATTAATTTACTTCACTCCTTACTTCGAAGTATGATAATGCGCGTTACCCCTTAATCAATAGATATGATGTACAGTCAATAAGCATAGGGCGTTAGAAAGGGGTGTCCATCACCCCCACCCAGCCTTTGGGGAGGAAAAAGAGAATCTGCCACATTAGTCTTACACCAATGTTAGGGATCTCGGCTACAAAGCTGATCTAAGGACGCGGGGACGTCCAAGGCAAACGCATCCTCAAGTCAAAACAACCCGGTTCTCTTTACTAATATTGGCATTAACCTCTCCTACCTTGAAATCAATATTGGGACAGGGCGAAGCGCCAATGCACGTTTTAACTCGGCTGGTGCTTTCCCTTCTGCCTAAATTAATAATAGTTGTACCGAAGGCAAAACAAGAACCCTGCGCGCAACACGATTGCGCGCAACACCTGAGGCGCTTCGCCAACCGCTCCAGCAGCAGACCAGAGGGTTTCCCCGCCCCACCCCAAATTTGCAACAAAAGAGAGAAGAGGAACGCTCGCGCCCAAAGCAAATAAAGAAAAATAATATATAAAAAGAAGGCGCAAGAGTATGGGGTTGAAATAGATTTAATCCGCCCTTTGGAGAGGGGAACGGAGGGCAATCCTATCGCAGGCTTCTCAACCACATCTGCAGCTCTTTGCAGTTTTGCACAACACTCTTCCTTTACATAACCAGAAGGTGCCGGGCGGCGGTGGGTGGATGGAAAGGAATGTTCCTCCCTCCATCCAAAGCGGGGTTTTCCGAACCACCCAAATGACTTATCCGGAGAATGGCAAGGGAGCGGGCTGCTGGTGGAAGTCTAAAGCAATCCACTTTAAATTAAAGCCACAACTCCTAGAGCGCGCGCGCTGTCAGATTTATGTATGCCTTCCTAAAGTGGTGGTGGTGGGGGGGAGAGAAACCCCTGGGGAGGGGGGTTTAATATGCTCTCCCCCAAGCAATGAACTGAGCGACGCTTAAAGAAGAGGGAGACTGGTGCGTGGAGAGTTGCACTTTGGAAGGAAAACCTGAAGCGGGAAGAGGGCGAGGAGAGGCGCGCTTTGGAGAGGCGCGCCTGTGCATTCGCCGCCCTCCCTGGCGTTCGCCTGCATCCTTGCCGCCGGCAGCTTCTCTCTCTGTTTCTCTGCGGCTGCCTGCGCGCCTTTCTTCCCGGAAAGGAGCTCCTCGCCTCGTTGCAGCGGCGGCGGCGGCGGAAGGCGCTTGGCGGGGCCGATGATGACCTCACGCGGCCACGTCTCGGAGCGGCTGTCGGCGGCGCGGATTGGCTGGCGCGGGCTCAGCGGCACTTCAAAGCCGGCGAGGGAGCTACAATTGTGGTGGAATGGGCGGAACTGATCATTGTATTGCACACCTCTTAAAAAAAAACACTGCCTCTGATTTATCAATATAAAAAAGATCCTCTGAGAGGAGGGCACTTTGTGGGATGGCAACTTCACTTCTAGGGGTGAGTCTGAGGATTTTCTCCCCCCCCTTTGCTGTTTTAATTGGGTCCTTTTTATTGGCGATTGGAGAAGGGTTAAAGTAGCCCCTCTCTTGACCGGGGGCTATCAGTCTCTCCTATTGAGGCTTTTATTTTTTTTCCTCTTTTGCCTTTCTCTCTCTAAGTCCAAGTGAGTTCGAGAGAAAAGAAAGCGGAAAAAGGGGAGGGGGAGGAAGAAAGAGGGCAGTCACTTTTTTTTGTTTTTTTGTCAGCGTGCAGGCAAAGGTTTTAAGGGCATTAGTAGGAACCACGTCCAGAGCTTGGGCTGAGCTATTCCTGTATCCCCGGAGAACTGGCCTCTCTCCCTCTCCCTCCCTCTATTATCTGCTCCGAGGGAAAAAGCAGCTGCCTCGCTCGGTCTCCTCTTTCCCTGCGAGGTTTTTTTCCCTTCCTTTTTTAAAAAAAAAATTGCGACAGCCTGTTGTTGTTGTTTTTCCCCTCCTTTAACATTTCACTGAGCCCGTCATTTCCTGCAGGTATGTGAAACCTTTTCCTCTCAATCTAATTCCTAGCTGTGGGTGAACAGGAAAGGTGGCGGCGGGTGGTTCTTGGGTTGTTGTTTTTTGTTGGAGTTTGGGGGGAGGAAACTGCCGTGGGAAAAAGAACCCCCTTTAAAAAGTTTACAGACAGCTGGGTGGGGAAAGAGATCTGAATCCGGATCGTTTTGGCTAAATCCTGGAGTAGACTCTTTGGAAACCGAGCGACTCTGGATTGGGGCTCCGGGGTTGGCCAAGCATCTCCCCGTCGCCAGTAGGAGCCCGCGATGTATCTGGACGGGGCTTTAGCCTCCGTTCCTGCTCCTCGGCTCGCCTCGGGGATGCGTTTTCAGCTTCATGCCCAGAAGCCGTCGGCTTCCTTTCAAAGCAAGCCTCTCCGGGGGGTTTTGAGCGGGGAGACGGGAGCTTAAATGTCCTCCGGGGAGCCTCGAGGAGGCGTCCGGCAGCAGCTCCTCGAGCGCGGCTGGCTCCTGGCCGCCCCCGTCTCCCCATCGGCGGGCACGCCGAGCAGCGCGGGGGGGCTGCCCTGGCCGTGAGGTCTCTTTCCCGGGCGATTCTGACGCGCGCTTCCCTGCGGGCCTCTCTCCCTTCTCGCTGCAGGAAGAACCGCGCCTGGGCTCCACTCCGCTGGCCATGCTCGCCGCCACCTGCAACAAGATCGGCAGCCCCAGCCCCTCGCCGTCGGCGCTGTCGGACAGCGCGTCGCCCTTCGCCAAAGGCTTCCACCCGTGGAAACGCTCGTCGTCGTCGTCGTCGGGCAGCTGCAACGTCGTGGGCTCCAGCCTGGCCGGCGTCGGCGTCTCAGCCTCGGCCCGAAACGGCTCTTCGGCTCACGCGGCGGCGGCGGCCGCAGCAGCGGCGGCGGCAGCCGCGCTCGTCTCGGACTCGTTCAGCTGCGGCGGGTCGCCGGGTTCCAGCGCCTTCTCGCTCACGTCCAGCGGCGCCGCGGCGGCAGCCGGCTCGCCCTTCGCCAACGACTACTCCGTCTTCCAGGCGCCCGGGCCGTCGGGGGGCGGCGGCGGCGGAGGGGGAGGCAGCGGCGGCGGCGGAGGGGCGCAGGACGCGCACCAGCCGGTCTTCATCTCCAAGGTGCACACGTCGGTGGACGGCCTGCAGGGCATCTACCCGCGCGTGGGCATGGCGCACCCGTACGAGTCGTGGTTCAAGCCTTCGCACCCGGGCGACGCGGGCGCCTCCAGCTGGTGGGACGTGGGCGCCGGCTGGCTCGACGTGCAGAACCCCAACGGGGTGCACCCGGCCGCCGCGGGGCTCCCCGCCGGCTCCCTGCACTCCCCTCTGGGCGCCTACAACTCGGATTACTCGGGCCTGGCGGGCCACTCGGCCTTCAGCAGCGGCGCGGCCTCGACGCACCTCCTGAGCCCCGCCGGGCAGCACCTCATGGACGGATTTAAGCCCGTGCTGCCGGGCTCGTACCCGGAGCCGTCGCCGTCGCCCCTGACGGCGGGCGCGGGAGGCTCCATGCTGGGCGCGGGCCCCTCCGCGCCGCTAGGCGGCTCCCCGCGCTCCTCGGCGCGCCGCTACTCGGGCCGCGCCACTTGCGACTGCCCCAACTGCCAGGAGGCCGAGCGGCTAGGCCCCGCCGGCGCCAGCCTGAGGAGGAAAGGCCTGCACAGCTGCCACATCCCCGGCTGCGGCAAGGTGTACGGCAAGACGTCGCACCTCAAGGCGCACCTGCGCTGGCACACGGGCGAGAGGCCCTTCGTGTGCAACTGGCTCTTCTGCGGCAAGCGCTTCACGCGCTCGGACGAGCTGCAGCGCCACCTGCGCACGCACACGGGCGAGAAGCGCTTCGCCTGCCCGGTCTGCAACAAGCGCTTCATGCGCAGCGACCACCTCAGCAAGCACGTCAAGACCCACAGCGGAGGCGGCGCGGGAGGAGGCGGCGGCGGAGGCGGCGGCGGCTCGGGAGGCGGCAAGAAAGGCAGCGACACCGACAGCGAGCACAGCGCCCCCGGCAGCCCGCCCTGCCACTCCCCGGAGCTGCTGCAGGCCTCCGAGCCCGGCCACCGGAACGGCCTGGAGTGAAAGCGGCAGGCTCCGAGGCAAGGCCCCGAGGGGACTCCTTTTCGTGTGTGTGTGGTTTTCCTTCTTTCTCCTCCCGCCTTTTTGTTTTCCCGCCCAGCCGCCTGAGAGGAAACCTCGCGCCTGTCTCAGCGACTCTGGTCAGGGGGTTAAAAACAAAACACAAAAAACACGGGGGAAATCTCTCTGGACATGTAAGTAGCGCCGCGCATTGATCCCCCGCACGGACCCCTCACTGGGCTGTCTTGCCCCGCAAGCTCCGGCCCCCGGCCGCCCTCGCAGCTACGCCGCCTGAGCCGCGCACGGGCGAGAGGAGAAGGAGGAGGAACTTTCTCGCGGGATCTTTGGGGGTCTCCCAAGCAGCTGCTCCAGAGAGGCAGCCCCCCTCCCCACTGACTTCCACGCTCCAAGGGAAAGAGGTTTTATTTTTTGGCGGGGGGGGGAGTCTCCAACCTGCGGGACGGAGGGAGGGCGTGGGATCCCGATCTGGACAAACTACAGAGCCAACAACCTATTGATTGAGAATTAGAGTCTCTTATCAGGAAACAAAACAAAAAGCAGCCAAGATCTCCCGCTGAAAGCACTTTGAATTAAATAGATATATATATATATATATCGTGGGAAGCTTTTTTAAATTAAAAAAACAAAACCTTATTATTTCGGACCACTCCTAAACTTCTCTTCAACTTTGCATTGAACTGCAGTCGCCAGCCCGCTAGAATGCTGCCCGTTGAAGTTGGTGGGATTACTCTGGAGTAAAAGGGTGAAGCCTGAAGCATTTGTGTGTGTGTTTATGTGAGTGTGCATGTAGGTGTGATCACTAACCAGCCCCATTCGCAAATCACTTACGCCAGAGTATTCCGAATTGGAATGAAGTGGGTACTTATTTTACAACATCTCCAAGTAAACTGCTTCGGAGGCTAGTCCAAGGCATTTTAGTCTATGATCCCTACCTGAGGTTGGGGGGTGGGGGTGGGGCGTTACATTCAATGGGAGTCAATTAAACTTTCTTCCAAGTAAAGAAGTGTTTTGAGTGATATCCCCTTTGAAGCCCGTGATATTTACAGCCAAAGGAAAATTCCTGAATTTCAGCAGATTTCGCTGGCATCCAATTCTAAAACAATTGCTCTGAAACAAGTGACTTCTGCTTCAATAAGAGGTTATGTCCAAGGATCTTCTTGGTGTCCTTAGGATTTCAACTTCACAGCTCAGCCCCATATATGTTTACACAGAAGTAAGTAAAACTGAATTAAGTTGCCTTAAGCTACAATCCTATGCATGCTTATGGGAGTAATATCCATTGAGCACAGTGGATCTTACTTCTGAAGAAAACATGCATAGGGTTGGGCTGCATTCATTTCGTTCAATTGGACTGTATCAGTGTAAACCCCACTAATTTAAGTGAATTATGGATTGGGCTATAAATCTAAGTTCTCTGCCTTAATTGATCACAGCCTAAATCATGCTTAGTCTTTTTTTCTTTTTTAAAAATGCTTCTTGGAGAAAGTGTAATTACTCTGGCAAATCCAACACTTTTGGACACAAACATTTACATTTGTTCTTGGAAACCTTGAGTATAATCGAGACAATTTTAATGTCCGGTTGGTTTCAGTGGCTAAACTCAAGATTAATTCTATCCTATTGAAATCAAATGACTTTAAATTTCTTAATTGTGGCTGGATAGTGCCCATAATTCGAAATGTGTTTGACTTCAGATCTCTTCTGATGATTTTTCTCTTAAAAGATAGAGATATAGGCTAATTTTCAGTAACTTCATTTTCTTAAAAGTTTCTCCCATGTTTAAAAAAACGTACCAGCGTGATAGCCCTCTGATTTCAGAGTTTCAGCATCTATATTCATGCAGTGCTCTAGATGCACCTAGGATTAAAATTATTATTTGTAGCATTATTTTTCTGATTTAAATAATTTAAGAAGTACCCTTGCTTTTCAGCGAGCCTGTAGTTTGAATGCCAAAAAAGAGGGGGGTCATAGGGACAAATATTTGTAAAATAATTCTAAACCTAATGGTTTGTACAACGGAATCGTTGTAAAATAGCTAACAAATATAACTCCCACCAGTGTATCGGTGTGAGATGCAGTTGTCCAGGAGACGATTTTGTATAGTATTTTTCTTGTATATTACTTCCAGTAAATATTTGAAAATATATTAAAGTACACTTGAGCTTCCCCCCCTTCTTTCCCCCTCCTCTTTTTGGTCACAAGAAAATATTAAAGCATTATTGTTGCAGTCCTAATTAACTGCATTTTTAACTTGTCCCTTGAAGTGTGCAGCAAATTGCACTTCAGGATATAGTTTTTGCTTGAATATTAATTTAGATAGGCGTAAGACTGTAATTAAGCAAACAATATTTGATAAATGTTGAATGACATTTAATTTAATGGAGCATGTACTTATTTGCATTTGCTGGCAGTTCAGGTATAGTTTAAGTGAGAGTTCTCCTATATTTCAAAACAGTGGGCGCACCCAGACCCATGTATTAAATAAACTGTCCAAGTGAAACTGACTAATGATGGCCTATGTGTATTTCCTGAAAATAATAATGGTGAATGTTACTAAAACACTCCTGATGCTACTTTGAAGTTTGCAAACCCTGCAAACAAATAGTCTCATTGTAATGTTGAAATAAGTTTGGATATTTCACATTGAAATGGAAAAAAGCCTTTCGCTGGAACACTTTAAATTTGCATTTTAAATGCATGAAATGTAATTGATTTTTATCTGTAAGATTTTAAATGGAATTAATAAACACCAGATAAAATAATTGTTGTTAGGTTAGTTAATTTCTTTCTAAAGATAAAAAGGTGGCATCTTCAAATTCATCTTCGAATTCCCTCTTCTGACTGAAAGCATTTATACTCTTTAACGTGTTTGGTTAACATTTCCATGGAGACCTCATTGAAAGTAGACATCAGGGAAAGAAGTCCTATTGACAGCAACCGAGTTTACTTCTAAGTAGGACTGTTTAGTCAGGAGTGTCGGAAATCTTGCGGATGTTGTGTCAAGGAGGGAAAATATAACAATTGCTGTGAATAATAACTGCTGATGAATGAGCACTTTGGTATTCAAATTATACTTTAAGAATGTACTCATTTGTGAAATACATCCAGATTGTATTAACTTCTGTTGCTCATCACCAGATCTGATGGGGGGGAGCACGATTTGGAAAATATTGTGAAGGCATTTAAGTGGCTAGCTCTGTGTTTATATGTGTATACACATACAGGCACGTCTTGTGTTTCCTTTTAATGGAAAACGAAAGCAAGGGTAGAGTGAAGAGTGTCTTTCTGTCTGTCTTTTTTTTTTAATGCAAAGTTCTGCAATTTGTGCAAAGGCAGTGATACTATATCGTTAAATACTCCGACCCTGGGCTTTGCTGACTGGCATCTGGATCCGAGTCCAGCAGAACCCACTTTCCGTGTAAAGAAGCTTAGGATCGGAGCGTTGGGAAGGAAATTCTTCCCGGGGCTGCAAGTGAACAATTAACTGCTCTGACAATGGGAGGCTTCCTTTTCCCAAAGAGCCCTTGTGCTTGATCAGCATGAAGCTTTAAGTCCAGAAGGAGCACTCGCTAACTGTTGATCTAGCTCTCTTGGCTATTGTCTAAGGCTGTCATGAGAGCGGTCCTAGCATCCCGATCTTCGCCACTCTAAGAAAAAGAGACAAGTATGTCTTTGGAACGAACAACCCGATCCTAAGGACATTTATTCAAAAGTCAGCCCATTAATTCCAGTGCCACTTCCAACAAGTGTGTGCCGACTTAGTTCTAAATGTTCCTGAGCAATAGAGAGAGCAATAGAAAAACGAGGTGAGAAGCCCTACGAGGTTACATTTGGAGGAACCGTGGTGCTTGTTGCGTGAGTCCATGGACGTAGCCAGGATTTTTGTTGGGGGGGGCAGAACCTTAGTTACCTAAGTTTTTTATTATTATTATTTTGGGGGGCAGGCTGCCCCTCCCTGGCTCCCCGCGGCTACGCCCATGCGTCAGTGTTTTGTTTCCCTCCGCCACTGCCACCCGGAAATCCTGAGCGCATTATTTTTTTGGCAAGGGATCTTGCTGGGTGTTGCCTCCCTTCCAAACTGGATAGGCGAAAACAGAAAGTTTGGGTTTGAGGCTGCAAGAAATAGGCAATTGCAAGACTATCTGGGGCCGTGTGGGGCCGAGAGCTGTAAAACTGTTGCGCGCCCTCCGGTGCCAATCCGTGGGGAAGAGGATTGCTATTCTTAATCTTGTTCTCATTCAGGTTTCCACACCAAAATTTGGAAGCAATGTTAGGTGGCCTGCAGAGCAAGGTTTTGGTTTGATTGGTTTTTTCCCCTCCCATCCCTCCAAAACCTTTCCCTTCTATCTAACAGAGGAGCCTTGTATCGGTTTAACGCGCCTTCCCTGTTGTCATGCTTGTCTCTCCATCGGGTCACAGTTTTCTTTCTAAAAGGATAAAGTTACGAAAACCACAAACGGTAGCGCGGTAAGGTTTGCAGTTGGAGCAGGTGGCAGCCACCTTCTCCTCACTTCTTAAGATGCGCTAGTGTTTTCAGTCGGGGCTGTTCAGGATCTCTGCGGTCCAGGGGTCCTTTACCTTTACCTTTTAAGAGGCACTGGAGTAATCTCTCTCTCTCTCTCGTCTCTTCCTGCCAGGCAACCGAAGGCGAGGGCGTCGATATGGGTTTATTGACTTGCCTTTGCTGCTTCTCAGTCGAATCTAGGAAGGTTAGGTTTGCTCCAAAGTAGGAAGCATGCAGGTTGGTGTGGTGGTGTCTCTTTCTCAGCCTCACACCCAGCCACCCCAACCCGCCCCTCTCCTAACGCAGAGGCCAGCCTGACCCCGAGGTCAATCGGGTCTCCATCAACCCGTCCCCCAAGTGCCTTCAAATGATTATGGCATTTCTCGTTTGCTCTTTGACCCACTGAAAGGTTCCCTGCTCTCCAAAGTTGTGCTGCATGCCTTGCTGCTGCTGAAGTCGGTGCGCGCGGGGGAGAGAGGGCAGCTACTCCCACTTTTTCCCCAGTAACTTAGGATCTCTCCTGTCTCCGCTTGGGATATTTTTTGTGAAAGACTGAGGAACAGAACCGGGTTTCCTTGGGGTGAGTGGGTGAGGGGACCATGCAGAGGGGAAAACGCGCAGTGGGCACCAGCGGGCTGTGTCAGTTACAGCCTGTGCGGTTTTGCGTGGAGATACCGCCTTTACAAAGCGACTTTGTAACTTCAACCCGCCTAACCACTAGACCCCACCAGGCCAGGCCCAGGTAGGGAAGCCGGCTATTTGGCCCCACGGCCTTGAGTGGGGCTGAACTGCACTCTTCATAAGCCTTCTAACCTAACCTGATCCTGAACACCAGAGTGCGCTACGGCGCAAGACAGCATGTTAGGATTTCAGCCTTGGAAGCAGGTCTCCCTGGCCTTCATTCCAAGTAAATGAGGATACAATGAGGGTGTGAATCACTTTAAAGCCGAGCACAACTCCTGAAATGTGGAAGGGCGAATAACATTATTCCTGCGTGAATAGACATGCCCGCTTTTCCGGTCCCTTTGACTCGCAACACAAAAAGAGGGAGGTAAGCCTGACTAAATGTGGATCTCTCCCCTTCCTCCCCATCTCTGCCCCACTCCAGGCAGTAAAGGATCGACCACCTCTTTCATTTCATGATCTCCAATTGCTCCCAAAGTTGAGTCACTTAAACCCTCCAGCCTCTTGGCTAGAAGGTAGGGGGACTCGGTAGCGGGGTAGTGGGGACCCTACTGATCGCCCACTGGCTTGTTCCAATTGCTTTTCTTGGAAAGGGCAAGGAGACGCGCCTGGAGCTTTCGAGATTCCCAGGTTGCGTAAAAGACCCGACACCCCCGGGGACAAAACCTCTCCTAGAGGCAGCCAGCGTCCTGGCTTTCCAAAACAACATTGCAGCCAGCCTCAGCCGCTTCCCTTCCCCTTTCCAAAGGAAAAGGCTCGCTGGTCCCTCTGCCCCCTGGGCCGGTGGGGCACAGGACTCCTTGCAGATTGGGGGCTTTGAAATTCTCAACCGCGTTTTAGAGCTGGTGTGGCGTTGTGTAATAGCGGGAAAGGTCGGACAAAGACCAGGATACAAATCTCTGCTCGGTCATTCATCGTGGGCGTCTCTCTTTCTCTTAGTCTCACTTACCTACAGCGCAGGGGTGTTGTTGCGGGAATAAGACTGGGGCGGGAACAGGAAGAGATCTTTGGGGAGAAAATAGTGGATACAGATGTAATAATCTTAGGCCAGGCAGCAGGTTTAGTTGGTCCTTCTGATGTTATTGGGAGAAGGATAAGTTTCGGGACTGAGGCTGCCATCCTAAACTGTTTGCGCCGTGTGAATTGGTCTGGCGATCTTGGCTCTGTCCTTGCGTCATCCTAATAAAAAGGAGCGCTGCCCTTGACTTCTGGATGGGTTGCTCGCCTACGTAGTTTGCTTGATTTCTTGGGGATTTGCTTCCCGGTTGCTTGTGCTTGCCTTTGCGCTCTCCTCTTCCTATCCCGGGTTTATGTCCTCCGATGCGCAAGTTCCAGGAGTGCCCGGGGGCATTTCCAGGGGAGATCCTCTCGTGCCGGCTGAGTTAAATGGGATTTACTCCGCAGTCAAGTTGCACTTTGAGGATTGCCTCCTTCCTTTTAAAAGGAAGCGGGTCATACACTAGACAGACCTAGTCCACAAAAGTTTATGCCACAATCGAGCGTTTCTGGTGCAATCCTGTATATGTATATGCATGGGGTACAATGAAACTTACCTCCAGGCAAACGTGCATAGGATTGCGCTGTTAGCCAGCAGCCCTAACCATGTCTACTCAGAAGTAAGTCCTATTGATCCGACGGGGCTTACTCCCTGGTAAACGGCGTTAGGGTTGCAGCCTTGTTCTTTCAAAGAGCCTTAAATCCGTCCTTTGGTTTAACGCTGTTCAGTTGCTCCCCAGCTTCGTTTTAATTTGTGATAGATACAAGGAAAGTCGCGGCCACGTTTTCAGTTTGGAGGTGACATGGGAACCCCAAGTAGCACCAATGATTGTGCATCGCGGCCAGAAGCCTACGCTAGCCCTCCATGAATTTGTCCAAGCCTCTTCTAAAGCCATCTGGGTTGGTGGAAAGAAATAGTGCTGCTTCTCTTGGGGCCGCGAATTACTTTTAAAACTAGACTGCTTTGGTTTCAAACGGGTCTGAGACCCTCAACACACTTAACCAGAAGTTAAGTCCGCATTAAACTCAGCGAGGCTTGAGACCTCTGAGCACAAACGTTTGGGAAGCAAAATACGTTCCGAATTAGAAACCAAACAGTGCCCTTCTCGACCTTGTTTGTTACTTTATTTGTTTTAAAATCTACACATCGCTTAATTATCCAAACATCTAAGAGGTTTACAGTACTGATCCGGATGGAGGGTCTCTCAGGGGTCTTCCTGGCAGCCCCCTAAAGGTGTAATGCCTCCTGTTCTGTCAACTTTGACTCCAATTGTTATCTTTCTTCCTCTCAAAGGAATGACATGAGTTCGCCTAGCTGCTACCCCCGCTGCCCTGGCGCGGCTGATGGCTCGGGAGGCCCTGATCCAGTGGGCATGGGCGTAGCCAGAGGGGACCGGAGGGGCAGCTGCCTCCCTAAATCAAGTAAATATATAAAACATACTTGACTAAAAGTAGAAATTGTAGAAAGATTTTGACAGATTTCCCCCCTGAGCATTTGGGGTCAAGAGAAAGTAATTTAAAACAACTGCTGTTGAGACATTTCACCCGGATTCTGCTAGACAGCCAAACAGAGGATGATGACAGGTGGGTTTCCTGCCCCCCCCATAAATCTTGGCTACACCCAAGACAGTGGGATGCTTATAGAAGCACCCTCTTCGGATGTCGATGCCCAGAGTCAATTCCACTGACTCGGGGCTCCTTTGAGGGCATGCATCTGTGTAGGACGGCTGTCCCTTTGAGAGAGGCCAAGGAAGCGTTTATTTTTGGCTGAATCCTTAAGAGGCCATGATAGCTGGACAACTGCACAAACACGGGCTACCGATCCACTCAAGAGAATTCTTGCAAACGCAGCTGAATACTTTCTTTTGCTGGGCGCGAGACTTCCGATGGGTCATCATCATGAGAACCCCAGGCCGAATCTATAAGGGTGTCCCTTGTTGTTGTGGGAGCTGCAAAAGCCTCTTGCCTGTGACTTTGCGCAAAGGAGAAAGGCAGGCAGGCAGGCAGGCAGGCAAGCAATCGCCTCCAGCTCCGCTGTGTGGGCCGATGCATTGCAAGGAACGAGACCGAGGGGTCTGTTGTGCTGGCCGATGCATCTTTCGTTCTCCTCGTCTTTCCGAACTGCCAGATTGCGTCCACGGCCAGACAGAGCAACAGATCGCCCCAAATTCAACGCACAGCCTCTCTTTCCTTGGCGCAGGGAAACAGCGCCACCTCGCGAAGGAAGTGAAGCAGCTGCGGGCGACGGCAGCAGCAGCCTGTTAAAAGATCAACAAATTTATTTTGGCAAAAGCTTTCCAGGGCTAGAGTCCGGTTCATCAGATGCTTGAAGTGTTATACTAGATTGCCAGGTGTATGATGGGGCAGCGGGGGCGGGGGGAGAAAGTAAGCAGGAAGATTCTGAATGGAGGAAATGTAGTACAAAATGTACATACTATAATAATAATTGCATTAAAGCTTAAATGTACTTTCCCCTAAAATGATGAGATTTCTGTTGATGAGCCTTCTGAATTAATTAATTGCATTAATTTGTCCATTGTTAAAAAAATCTTTTTTTCTCTCTAAAAAGCCCAGTCCCCTCTTGTAGGTGTGTAGACAGATTTCCATTTTTGTTCTATTGCTAACCAGGCAGTAGTTAATAAATTAATTCATAATTTCTTATGTTTTATACCTTCATCATTAATATAACCCTAAAGCATTGCTGGACCATAGTATCCTCCAATCTTCTTTTGCAGTTTATAGCTAGCGTTCCACCCCACTCCACAGTTTGAACTTGCAAATTGTTTTATTGTTCCTGAACTGCAACCTGACACATATCTGTGAAACCAACCCTCAGTCCAATGAGTTAGCTTAGTGAAACAAGCATTCAAATAAGGTTAGTGGTCTTGTAATTCGGGGGCATAACAAATCATTCTTTCTGCATGAAACTTTTCTGTTTGCAAATATTCTAGCCATGGCTGAGGGGGTCTTTGGTGATGATGGTTGTAGTCTGTCATAAGGTATCAAATTCTGATTAGGTTATAGGTTTATAAAGCATTTAAGATCCATTAGAATCCAGGGTGAAAATTGGTTGAAAGAAAAATTGTGCTGAAATTTGTGCAGTACAAACTAGGCTAATGGTGATTGGTGTACCTAGAAAGAGATGCTATACTTTGGCATGCCGTACCTTAAGCATAGTAGCTACCATCAAGTGTTTATTAGGAACAACAGGCATGCTTTGCAGTCCATAAAATAGCTTCCATATAATAAGGGGTGTGTGTGTTGCTCTGTTTGAGTCCATTTTATCATTTGCACCCACCAGGAGGAAAGAACATTGTAAAGAAGATTTGGCATTGCTGTTCCCCTAATAATTTTGTTTTTCTATATAATGTTTGAGCTTGTACCCAATGCCTTTCCCCCCTCTAGATAAAATTTAGAACAGTGGATCTCAAACTCCCCCCTCCCTGCCACCCACCACTTGAGGGTCTTGGTGGATCACTTCATGTTTTTTCTGCTTGTTTCTTTAGCAACTGTAATGTTACTAAAGTACTTTTCAAACATTATGTGGAATGCAAATTTTAGTACAATACAACATGATAAGAAATAAAAAAAGCAATTAAAACACCACTAAAAATCAATATGAATATTGTAATGGAAGGGTCGCAGACCACCTGAGTGAAACATATCATGGTTAAGGAACCCCTACTTTGGAAAATCATTCACCCGTTTCTCCAGTGGTTTTTCTGGAATATATATGGGGACTGTTTTAAATAAATATAGGAAATAATGATACAACCCTCATATTAAGTCATGCTATCCACCCAAACTGGGAATCGTGCCAAATCATTCAGTGCATTTTTCAAGAGTGTTGCAAAGGTGGTTTGATACAACTGTGACAATTGAGTAATTATATTTACTCCAAAATATTTCACTGAGGTGGTGATGCATTTAAAGGGAAATACATACCCCACAATTCCTTGAGAGAGAGAACATCATGAGAACCTCTGATTTGTCAGTTTATTTTTAAATACTGAGATGGAGCCAAAGGAACCAAACTCTGGAAGAATTGTCAAAAGAAGGAGGTCATCTGCATATAATCGTATTTTATGACACTCTTGCCTAGTTAGTGGGAAGCAGGCTGGCATAGCACCATTTATTGCTGCACAATATTGTGCTGTAGAATGCAAGACATTTACCATTCTACATAAATTAGATTCAGAGTTAATACTTTTAAACAGTTGTTTCAAAAAGGGCCATTCCAAACTGTTAGTGGCAAGAAACTGGAGAAACAGCAGGACTCTTGTAATTTATGGAAAACTCAGGAAGAGCCTTTTTGAAAAAACTGAAATGTCACCTCATCAGAATCAATTTTAATTTAGGTTCCAGCAAAATATTAAATTTTACCTGCTAGGATAGATGTAAAAACAAATATTTCCTCTTGGTTATTGAAGGATATAGGTCAGAATACTTGTGGTAGAGAGAATTCCTTGCATTGCTTTTGAATAGCAGCATTAAAATTATTTCACACGAAAATCTAGTGTTTGCCCGATTGAAGGCACACCACTGAAGGCATCCAGCACAGGAGGAGCTAGAAACTTGCCACTAAAATGTTTACAGAACTCAGCAGGAAGGCAGTCTGTTCCAGGAGCATTTCCATTGTTCACTTTTTAGCTCTCTGGACTTGCTCTGTTGTTCTGGCACCTGTTTACGCAGTGCCTCTATTTTGGGCATTCCACATCTCTGCAGCACAGCAGAGGCATCTACCTCTTTTGGGAAATTTGATTGATAGAAGGTCTTGTATATTTTGCAAAAGCAGTTGCTATCTCATTTGTATTCTTAATTGTGGGCCCATGATGATGCTGTTGCTTGGATTTCTTTGGGTTTTTTAAAAAATACATATGTATCTTTTTCTATATTCAGAATAGGATTGTTTCATGTAAAATATAGGTCCCCCCCTTTGTTTCATTGGTTTCTACTGATTTTCTAGTAATTTGGAGTTGGTAACATTTTCTACACCTGTTCCAGTTTAGAAATTGCCATGCAAGGACTTGCCATTGTGCCTCTCTTTCTTTTCACATCTGAGGCAAGGACAATCGAGTGACCTCTGATAACAGTTTTGAAGGGATCACATATAACTGTTGCTGATGGATGTGACATGTTCTCTTTAAAAGAGTATCCTGTCTTCCATCAGTGTTTTCCTCAACTCTCTGCTAAACATCAGGAGGGTATTCAGCCTCCATCTGTTGGTTTGCCTCAGTGGTTGCTCAGTTGCAAGCTTGCACCTCACCAGAGCATCAACGGATCATGTGCAGATGCCAGCATCCACCTTGTGGACTATGCCTCAAGCTCTGTGTGGTTAGGATAAAATCACACCAAGAGTGAGATTTATCTATGCTCAAATAATATGCATGGTCTTCAATCATGAGTTTTAGCTCCGCCATACCTCTGGTCTTAGATTATAAATAATTTGTTTAGTGTATGAATATGAATGTTCCATCTGAGTGGCTTTCAGTGAAATTCTACACATGTCTACTCAGAAGTAAGTCCTATTAAGTTTCATGGGGCTTAATCCCATGTAATAGGATCGCAGTATAACCCTTTATCATTGGCCTGTCCTTCCCAATTGTATAAAGACTTGTTTCAAAGCATTTAGCCTACTTTTAACTAGGGGCGTAGAGAGATCACCACCAGCTTGTAATATAATTATGATTTAATTATGGGTGGGCACCACCCGGTCATTATATAATTTTCCTTTTACTAAGATGCACCTCTTGTTGTAATCATTAGCCTACAATGCACATGCAAGTATTGTATTATTACCAAATACTATGGCTACACCTCTGCTTTCAGAGATATTCTGGTGCAACATAATGAGTTGCAAAGCAAAGAGGCTTTAAAGAACATCCCACCATTTTTTAAAACATGTCTCTATCTAGAAGGAACATAACAATCCTGGCTGCTGCTCTAACACCTGTGTAGTTTTCTATAGTTTTATGCAGTGGTTAAGGCTTTTGGCATTAAAAAAAAAAAATAGTAGCCTCATTTTTTTAACATTTCAAAAGTACGGTAAATCCCAATGAGTTCAATGAAGCTTACTCCCAGGTAAGTGATTATAGGATGACAGCTTAATTGAAGCACAATGATTCTAGTATTTTTATGTGCTCTCCTGTTAAATACCAGGAGTTAGTGTGCATCCCTCTGAAGATCCCCAATCACTTAAACAAGAACAAAATGTCCCTGGTGCAGAAGTTTTCTCAAATGAATATGCTTTCATTTGCTCATACTAAAAAAACACACTGCATTGTTTTATACGGTTGAATAGTTTCTGGCTTGTTTTGGTTTTCATTGCTTGCTTTTAATAAAGTTTTTATTTCTTATGGCCCCAGAATCCATATGTGGGTGAAGGTGTGGCTTAGAACATTGAGTAAATAAATATCGCTCCCCTAAATTCCCTAAGTTGGGGCATGAACCATTTGTCATACTTTAGGAGTGGGAACATTAATTCCACATCTCTCACCCAGCCTGAGAAATAATACACAGGTCTTTGGTGCTCTCCCATATTTGGGTACCAATGAGAGGAGGTTGGCTACAAAATGTTAACGGTTCACAGGGTCCTTTAGGTCTGAACCCAAAGGTGGCATGTTCTCCTTTTGCCCTGATTCACCAGTTCTTTTTCATTTGTGCTTGGTTCCCTCTAGATGTACATATTTTCTTTCTGTGTCACAGCCATCTGATGCGTCTCATGTAGGCTGCTTGCCTTACACACCCCTTGAGAATTCCAAGTGCTCCTTTCTCATTCATATCTCTTGCGGACAGGAGGAACAAGTCACTGTAAAAGGGGTATCCCCAGCTATATTCCCGTTTGCAAGGCAGTTTTTCAGGTCTTGTCATACTTGAAGTGTTTCCAAGTACAGGTATTAGAGAACGGCTGCATACACCTTATATACCTGCATACACCCCCCCCAAAGAATCCTGAGAATTGTAGTTTACCCTTCATAGAGCTATAATTCTCAGCACCTTAAACTATAGTTCCCAGAATTCTTTGGCGGCAGGAAACATGTTGCAGTACACAGCATGTAAATGCCTAAATGTGATTGCAGCTTTAATTCTGTTTTGTTTTAGCATGAACTCCTTGTTCTTAATAATTCATACATTTTACAGTTCTACCTGTGGAGTGCCAGGTGTTGCTCTCAAGTAAAACATGACTCTATGAACTTTTCTCCAGGTGCCCCCCTGAGGATGCCTCCAGATCAAATGTAGAAGCCAGCCATTCTGCAATCAAAGCCTCTACTGACTTATCTTGCCCTGTGTCTTCTTTTAACCTGCAAAAATGCAGGTTGCAGAATCCAGATGCTGTTTTCAGCATCATCCACTTTGTCTTTCAGATAATGGTTTGTTCATCGGAGCTTTTGGAAGTACTTTCCTGTAAGTATTCCAAAGTCCAAATTATTTAGTGTGCAAGCTTCGGAGTTCGTCAGAACTCTCCCACCGGCTGGGTGTAAAGCAAAGGAAATGAAAGCTGATTGAGAAAAAGATGTTGCTGATTTGAAACACCCTGTCTTGCTGTTCATAACAGTGATCAGATGATACGATATGGAGGGGGTTATATGCAGTCTAAGGCTGCAAGCCTTACATGCACTTACCTGCTGGGAGAAAGTCCCATTGGGCCCAAGAGCATTTACTTCTGAGTAGACATCATAATCATGAAGCTCACTGGGTGAACTTGGGCCAGACACTGCCTTTCACCCTAACCTACCTCAAAGGGTTGTCATGAGGATAAAATGGGAAGAGGAAGAACTATGCACAGGTTACCAACTTAGAGAGAAAGGTGGGATGTAAACAACATCATTATTATATGAATATTACAATTAATAAAAAGCATGTATAATTTTAAAGCAGTGTACAGATTTTTTATTTGTTGAAAACAAATTGTTGCTGCACAATAGAAAAGAAAAAAGGAATGGACCGGAAGGAGGAGGGCAAGGACTGAAACAGCAGCATCTGGGGTTGATGGATGAGGCTGGCTGGATCTGCTGTTTGCATTTCACCCCCCCCCCCCCATTCAGTGGTCCTTGGTCCCCTGGCCGTGGCAGAGGTCAGAGGGCGATCCTGTTCAGCACTGTACTCCCAGAGTAACTGGGAGATGAAGCAAAGTGTCCATTTCTGGGGTGCCCTCTGAATGACACTGCACTGATCCTTCACTGCAACTATTGTGTCCTGTGCAAAATCATCTCAGGTTTGTAGCAAGCAAAGCTGGGACACAGAAGAAATGGGCGCTCTCCTTTTGAAATGATAAAAGCCGGCACTTCTTGTCACCACCATTGCCCAGCGGGGAGGGAAAAGCACTCTGCAGCTGCTCAGGGGACACTTCATTCTTGCTTCACAGCTTCCAGGGATGAGTTTAATCAAGAAGATTAAAGGTATTGTGGATGAGGCGTTATGACCTTGCTCTGATAGTCTGAAAGCAAAGGACTGGATAAAGGTGGCAAACAGTTGTCCGCTAGTATGCAGTTACCTGTAGGCAGAGTAGTGGGGCTAGATTAAAGGGGGCTAGATTTTACTGTGCAGTCTGAACCTTAGCTACTCAGAAGTATGCCCTATTGGACCCAAAGCAGCTTACTTCCAGGTAAGTGGAGTTAGGATTGCAGCCTTGGGTATTAAAAAAGGCACATCTCACTGGCTTCAATAAGTTCTCATTCACTTTCTGTCTCACACTACCACCATCCAGGAGTGACACCTTCCAAAATATAGTCTTATAAACTGTTATGCAAACTTGACTGGAAGCAGTAGACCTACTTCAGAGAAAAGATGCTAAGGATCAGAGTTAGGGTGGCCAGACGATGCAATAGCAAAGAAAAGCAAAAAGGACAGGCCTGCTGCATCTAGATGTGTGGAAGAGGAACTTTTCGCTGTTGTAGATAATTAAGAGGGATTTTCTGCAGTTGTAGATAAAGGGTTTTATATCACCCTTCAACTGAAGATCCTAGGGCAGGTTAGAACAGAAGAATGCAAAATGAGAATACAAAATTAAACAAAACAAAACAAATTCAATAACCCCATTCCACAAACACATTTAAAAGGCCACAGAACACCTGGTTGAAGAGAAATATTTTCATCTGGTGCCTAAAGATATGTAATGAAGGCACCAGGCGAACCTCCCTGGGGAGAGCATTCCACAAATGGGGAGCCACCGCAGAAAAGGCCCATTCTCGTGTTGCCGTCTTCTGGACCTGTCATGGAGGAGGTACACAAAGAAGGGCCCTCAGATGATGATTGCAGAGTCCAGGTTGGTTCATCTGGGAATTGCAACACAGGATTTTTATAGGCTCCCTCACCACAGGAACAGAGGAAGCTGCCTTATACTGAGTCAGATGATCGGTTCACCTAGATTGTTAACAACAAACCATGTAGCTGCTTTCCAGGGTTTCAGACAAGGTTGTCTTCTAACCTTTCCTGGAGATGCCAGGAATTGAACCTGAGGCCTCCATGCAAGGCAGATGCTCTGCAACTGAGCTATGGTTCTTCTTTGATGATCTTCTACCGGTCAACAATAGAAAGTGTTCTTTCATACTGCATCACGGTGTGGTATGCTGGTTTGACATCATCTGATAGGAAGTGCCTACAGAGGGTGGTGAATACAGCACAAGATATTATGGGCTGTCCCGTGAATCTGCTGGATGAAATAGTGGAAGAACGTTGCCTCAGGAGAGTAAGGAAAATTCTCAGGGATGATTCACACCCTGGCCGGCACTTTCTTGATCTCCTGCCCTCAGGCAGAAGATACAGAAGCATGATTAGTCGTGCCAACAGGGTAAAGAACAGCTTCTATCCGTGGGCTGTTAGGCTGCTGAAGGAAAAAATAACAACTGACTTTCGGGTTGGTGGGTGTGCGCCAGTAAATGAGGGGAATTAAGACTAAGCTGAGTGGGGGGTGCTCGTGTAATCTCACTGTATACAAGTTGTACAAGTGACAAAGTATTTCAGTTTCCCCACCTAGAAGTCTTCCATGCATCCTAGTCTCAATTCTGCCCACCTCTGCTAAGAGTGAAAACATGAATGACCGTATTTCCTCATACAAACTTTCCTGGGCTCTGAGAGGTTCAGAGGGGGCTCTTCTCTTGGTCCTGCCCCCCTCCCAAGCACACTTGGTAGGAACACTAGAGTGGACCTTCTTGGCTGCTTCTCCCAGACTTTGGGGCTCCCTGCCTAGAGACTAGCTCCCACCTTGTCCTTCTGCTGCAGGTGAATATTTTCTTGTTCCAAGTGGCTTTTGGGAACTGACTGCTTTTAGGGAAAGGGCTGCTGTTGTGATGTGTTTATTGTAAAGATCTGTATGTGATTTTTTATATGTATATATTTTAATTCGACTAAGGTTTCATTGTTTTTGAATGATTGTTTTTTATATGTTTTTAGCTGTTTCGATTTTAGATGTAAGTCGCCTAGAGTCCCATTAGGGAAAAAGGCAGGATATAATAATATAACAACAACAACAACACATGTGAATTACTTTGAACACTTGAAAGTGCAGCACTAATAAAATACACCCCACCTTCTCTCTAGGGAGCTCAAGGGCTTTCAAAGGCACTGAACAGATACAAATCTCTTAATTTCAGCAAGGCTGCTACATCAGATTATGTATTAGCAGTTGGTTGCATTTGTTTTGGTGGCAAAACAGAGTTTTCAAAAGCTGCATGAAAAGATGGAGATCTCCACTGCTTACCTTGGTCACTGCACGATGCAGGACAATAGAAGGTTGTAATGAAATGGGCTACAAACATCGCCATGCCATAGAACAGATTCCGAGGCAGGCCTCTGGAGCTCCCATCACTGGATGTTAGGTTTTAAAAATAGACTTGATCAGCAAGCATCTGTTAGGAATGGCAAAGCTATGATTATCTTGCATCTGGGCTACAGGGTGCACTCGGCAGCACACCAGCCCCGTTTTTCTTCTGATTCCTGTCGCCCAATCTCTGCACAGACTTGGGCTTGAATACTCCGTGGATTAATGTCAACAACCTGTCTGCCTTAATTTTCCATCCGTAACTTGAGGAGGATGCTTAGCTACCTGTTCCCCTTGAGCTGATTGTTTGGTGTTTGAATGGTGCTAAGGAAATGTGTTTAAATCCACCTGAATGCACCGCAGATTTCTGCCAGCTGAAGATCTGGTTGCCTTTTAAGTGCACTTATTAAGCCCCATGCATTGCAAAGCCTTTCTACCCAAGTTGGTTAATATGAAAAATGCGGGTTTTGATATGTTAAAGCTGATGTGCCTATTCAGTCCGTGATAGTATTTAGGTTTTTTGTTTTTAGAAAGAAGAAATAATTTAAACCAGTTTTCTTAAAGGTAATTGTAAACTCTTGGCTCTTTACCTACGTGATACTGAAGAATTAAACATTTCAGGAAAAAGTAGCTTGGAAAACATTGCAGTCCATGTACTGTACATGTCACTGAAGATGTAGAGAGAGAAAATGCCACTGAAGATATAATCACACACTCTATTTATAATTTAATGTCATCTCACAGCTTTGATTTCCCTTTTCTTTTTCGCGTATCTTGGATTATACAGTACTATTCAGAGAAATGCTTTTTCCAATGAGCCCTGTTGTTTGTGTGGTTTTTAAAAATAAAATAACAACTATAAATACAACCTAAATTGTTAATTTAGCCCTTTCCAATCCAGTGCCCTCCACTGGGGTTACAACTCCCATCATTCAGTGTAGTATAGTGGTTTAGAGAGTCAGGCTAGGATCTGGGAGACCAGGGTTCAAATCACCACTTGGCCATGAAGCTCACTGGGTGATCTTGAGCCCATCACGGCATCTCAGCCTAACCTACCTCACAGAGAGGTTGTAGGAATTAAAATATCCAATAAGAAACACATATGCCACATTGAGCTGCTTGGAGAAAAATGTAGGATGTAAATTCAATAAACAAATCAGTAGCCAATGGGAGGATGCGGGTTGCGCTGTGGTCTAAGCCACTGAGCCTCTTGGGCTTGCCAATCAGAAGGTCGGTGGTTCAAATCCCTGTGACTGAGTGATCTCCTGTTGCTCTGTCCCAGCTCCTGCCAACCTAGCAATTCGAAAGCATGCCAGTGCAAGTAGATAAATAGGTACAGCTGTGGCAGGAAGGTAAATGGCACTTCCATGTATTCTGGCTTCTGTCAGAATGTGTCCTATTGTGCCAGAAGCGGTTTAGTCATGCTGGCAACATGACCCGGAAAGCTGTCTGTGGACAAACGCCAGCTCCCTCGGCCTGAAATGAGATGAGCGCTGCAATCCCATAGTCGCCTTTGACTGGACTTAACCATCCAGGGGTCCTTTACTTTTACCTAGTCTGACAACATCTGAACGGGCCTAGGGTGTTGAAGGCTGCATTAATTTATAATTGCAGTTTTTGCAAAAATGTTACTTGCTTTCATTTGGCAAATAGCTGGGGAAGCAGTTTTGACTGGGTAGATGGAATGGGATGAAAGCGATGTGCTGCCCCTTTCCCCCACAAGCAGGCAGCAGCAAAGGAAGGGGTGCCAACTCTTCCCCTTAGGGCTGCCAGCAAATTTGCAGCATTCCAGATAGAAAAAAAAAGTATCAGGAGCACAGGAGAAAGGATGCAGAGCCCAAGGTGTTTTTGAAGTTTCACCCACAGCTGCTTGTATTGCTGAACAGGGGAGGCAATTTTAAACTGAAAGTAGATTGCCCGGTCCATTGTGCAAGCTGCTATATTAGAAACTTCAAGGAGATCCCCAGCTGCACACATCTAGTTGTTTCTCCTGAGCACACACATCTTCATAAGGACTGCTGCTTTCTGGGTTGATTCAACTGGAATTCAGTAGTTTTAAGCCCCCACTTAAGTCAAGTGGGAGTTAATTCCATGCATAGCTGCTCTCCTGTTAATTTTAGTGAGAATTTAAAGTGATTTTTTGATGTTTGATTAGAAAATTACACATGGCAACACTGGTAAGTAACGGAGGACATTTTCATCACTTTGAATTTGTGATTTATTCATCTTCATTCACTTTATAGAATTTTTCTAATGCTTACTACTACTACTACTACTACTACTAATTTTTATTTATATCCCGCCCTCCCTGGCCAAAGCCCGGCTCAGAGCAGCTAACAATAAGCAAAAATAGCACAGTGTACATAAAATCACAGTCAATTAATTAAAATACATTCTAAAATCAATTCAGAATCAAATGGGTGTAAATGCTTGGGCATATGGATGCAATACATGAGCGATACATAATTCTCATATTAGGCTACTTCCACAAGTGGCAACTTAAGCTGGTTTTTCTGTTTCCTGCTTCTGGTCCATAGGTTGAATTTAAAATCTCATTGGTTAGAAAATGGACACTCAGTTTAATATTGGCTTTCTTTTGCTTTCTTTCACACATCTGAGGCATTCACACATCGCACATTCAGGACCAAAAGTCATTTGTAACAACCCTTGCACGAAAGGAACCTTACATTTCCCCGTGAAACTAAAGTGCTTGCCATTTCATTCAAACTCTTTCTATTTTTGGATGACAGCCAGCATAAAATAAAATAAAAAGCTGCTGCACAAAGGACTTACAAAGTGGAGAGATCGCAGCAAGAACGGAGCAAAATGTGTTTTTCTAAACATGCATTGATTTCACTGCAACTATGCTCCTTGCTTTGCGCTATTGAACAAATGGAGGAGCAACGGTCATTGTGGAAGGGTGTGTGTACAGAAAAGAATACACAGATAAGTAGGGAGCTACCTGGTTCTTGCTGGAGAATTTTGAAATGAAACCCAGGAGACGCAGACCAGGAGGAGAATGGAAACCAGAAATGAAAACCTGGGACCCTTGAGGGGACACACCCACCCACCCAATTAAAAATATTGGTCCAGGGAGGCACATATGCCTAGAAGAATGCTGAGCACTTGTTTCTGAATTAACCAGTGCACCCAGCTAAGATGTGATTGGCCATGGCAGGTCCCAGATGCTGCCTACCAGTCTGGGATCAGGCTGTTGCCTTCAGACAAAGGCCCCTTTTTTCTCCATGCTTCTGGTCAGGCAGGTCCCGTGGGTCTGATTCTACGACTAGGAAATATCTGAAACACACACACATTTTGGATGTGGATGTGGACTTTGTTCTAATTTCATTCACAATAACTTCTGAAGAATGGGACATAAAATATACATGGGCATGGAAGGTCATGGTCAAAATTTGGACTTAGGAGGAGGAGCAGGACCGAACAAGGAAGGTCGAAGAAGGTCTTCACTGAGCTGTAATACAGGTGATAGCTCAGAGATGGGGGCAGAGGAACACTTGCAAAGATCTCTGCCTCAATGTTCCCTGTTGAATGGACCACTCTTTGGATCTTCACGTTTGACAGATAATGTTTCATGTTAGAAACTCTACCCATGATTAGATGTTTGTGTCAATTGTGCAAAGATCTGCTGAGCAGCCCAAAGATATTGTGGGCGGGGCTTGGTGCATGAAAAGAGACTGGCTCGTTCTTTACTGTGAATCGGAGAATGCATCATTTGTGCAAT